ATTTTTATGTCAACATTACTAAAGAGGTGTTGAAAGTTAATTCCTGATTCCATATTCTGAAACTGCAGAATAATCATCAAGAGATTGCTTACATAGCTTCATTTTTAAATTAAGCCAGTCATGACTGTTAAATTATACCAAAGTTCTGTATTTTTAGAGTGCCGAATCTCATTACTATCTATTTTGCGTACGTAGCTGTATGTACTGTATGAGGGAAATATCATTTTCTTGGAAACTACACCCCCAACATATCCTTATCCCTAAATGACCAGAGAAGTTTATCCTAAGAATCAAAAGGGATACTTGAACAGAACACTGACTTTAACGTCTTTAAATGTCATTAATTAATATGGATTAAATCGTCATACTTATCCTCTCAAGTATTTAATATAAGAAGACACTGAGGCTTCTTTTATTTGTAGAGTTGAGTGATCGCTTTTCAAAATCCTCCACCCACAACAGCTCAAATCACTGGTAAGCAAATATGATGAAGAGGAGGTTTAAGCCACCACTTCTGTTGCTCAGTTTTTATCCTGCAACTGGACCTGGCTTGTCAGGTTGTATGCATACACAATTTCCGTTTGACAAAAACGTGAGAACAAACCTAAGCATCGCCTACAATCTATGTCTTATAGGAAATCTATCCTAGCTTAATCGAGCTAACGGGCGGTAGCTTGCTCTCTACACGTCCTTAACAGTCACTCACCAGTTTGAGACGCACCTGAAGGTGACACGGAGCTCCTTCACTAGGCTAACTAACTAACCGGCATCTCTCGAAAACTAACCGACACCCTGTGAGCGGAGCATGAAGCAACATGAGCTTGGAGGAAGTCATTTTGGCCGAGATTCGCGCTGACTAGCTTACTGTTGTCAAGCCAGTGCGCTAATGTGCAGAATAGATGCGCACATAAAAAAAACAAGAGCTTTAGCTCAAGCTGATCAACACTGACACCTGGTGGTCAAAGTTGATACTGCAGCGTTTTTCCAGCATTAGCTTTTCCAACTATGCCATACTGTAAAATTACAAGAAAATGTTGTAATTTCATGATTTTTTTTTCTTAACAGTTGGGATAGTGTCCTGAGGTTTAAAAACTTTATCAAATCCAATAAGAATCCTTTTCATTGTGGAAAGGGTTTTCTTTTCATACAGGTAGCTAGAAATTAACAACTAGAAAGAAAGAAGAAAGTACTTCTTTCTTCCAGTCAATTTGGATTTAAAACTAGCTAGTCATCTGTTTCCATATTTATAGTAAATGTCTAGATCTGATGTGTTATTTACTTTGTTCTTTGTTTCAACTTTAGTTTTTTTCTTTGATTAAGAAATTCTTGTGAATATATAGAAAAAAATTATAAAATTAACAACAGTATTATAATTTATGTATTCTGTTGCTCATTTATTTATTTCTTAGTTTTTTGTACTGCAATAAAGTAAGTCATTAATCACAGTGGTCTAAACCTGACATTAAGAAAATAGGTCAGTGTTTTAATTTTAGAACAGAGCCACCTGTCTATGTCAGTACCAACATGGCTGTAGTAAAGCCTCAACATTTTATATCCTCAGGGAATCCAGAGAATAAATCATCCAAAGTGGTAGTTTTCACAGTAATATTTTAATATTTGTGTACACAGAATTCATCAAAATGCAGGATACAAGCAGTGCAGTTTCTTGTGTCCCTGCCTCTCTAAAAGAACTGCAGAAGGTTTTGTATGGAGGTAAAAGATTTGGGAACCATGTGGATGAAGTTTGGCCAAATCTCTACATTGGGGACATGTAAGTGTTAACTTCCACAATATTCGTTTCTCATCCAATCGTCCCGTGCCAAATATTATGCCTGCTTGCTTTCTCCTCAGGTCAGTTGCCAACGACCGCTACAGTCTGTGGAAGCTGGGAATTACTCATGTTGTGAATGCAGCTCATGGGAGGATGTACTGTCAGGGAAGTCATGACTTTTATGGAGCCACAGTGGAATATTATGGAGTCCCCGCTGATGACTCACCGAGTTTTGACCTTTCTCGCTATTTCTTGCCAACTGCTGAGTATATTCACAACTCACTCAACACGAATGGGGGTAAATACCTGTCAAGTTGCCTTAGTTTCATTGTTTAAGAGAATAACTATAACGTCCTTCACTTTAATTTATTTTCTTTCACTGTAGCTCGGGTGTTAGTGCACTGTGCAGTCGGAGTGAGCAGGTCTGCCTCGCTGGTGTTGGCTTACCTCATGATCTACCATGCTTACTCCCTCCTGGAAGCCATCAATAAGGTCAAAGAGTGCAGGTGGATTTTCCCAAACAGGGGTTTCCTAAAGCAGCTGCGTGCTTTGGATCTGAAACTACACAATACTTCTGCTAATGGGACTTAAGACATTAGTTTTCTTCCGGATGAGTGATGCTGTGTGTATCTGCCAGCAGAGGTAGACACAAAGCTGGCCAGCGGCAGAAACAAACTAAGCTGCTGCAGAGTGCCTCCAGGCCAGCAGGGGTCCCCCAAGAGCTCCTCAATTCTCATGCAGATGTTTGATATTTGTTTATCAAGAGTAAGCGTTCTTTGTCATTTGTCCTAGTGATTTCAAAATAGGCAAACTGGTCATCTATATTATTATTTTCATTTTATCCCTTTAAGATTTACATGCATTTAAAAACTTGGAAGTTGTCATCACACAACGGACAAACTTGGTGATGAGTTCAATTATGTCTGCAATTATACCCATGCTGGAGTCACAGCAGTTGTAAATGAATCTATCGAGTAATTACAGGTTGTAATTTCTGGAACACACGACTAATTAAACTCGTTCCCTCTTGCTTGACTCCACTGAGTCTGCTTGAAACACAGAGCAACAGAACAGATGTGTCGGTCAGTGAAATGCTCTGCAGGATATGTCTGGCTTTCTGTCTGTTGTCAGTTACACGGGCTTTCTGAAATGCTCATATCTACTGATGAGGTGAAAAGTTGTGCTGTCTGTTGTTTCCAAGTCAGTCACATCAGGGAGGAAGTGAGTGACTCCGGATCCTCAATGCTCTTCACATGAGTAGTGCAGAAAATGGAAGCAACAAGAGGGGCACCAGAATTTGATCAACTCGGAAAAAAAAAAAAAATAAAACCTCTTTACGATGAGATGAGAGAAGCCTGCACCCGAAACTACCACCCTCTCCAGGAGACCGGCATGAGGATAGTTGCCTCAAAAGCAAGGGTTATATATTCAAGCAAAGATGAAGGGCAGGCATGTCTTCACGGGCTTCAATTTTTTTCCTTCATACTTCCAGCTATGGATACACCTGGGACTTCTTTGCTTATGAGGGGAAAACAGCACTTGAAAAGGTCTCGGTTATGACTCTTTGACAAGGCTTGTAAAAACGACATTGCTAGGGACAGGCTACAAATAGTTTGAGGACTATTTGAGGACTCAAACAAATAGTTTGAGGAATAGTCCCATCCTATTCCAAGATTTCCTATAGCAGAGGATCAAGATGTGTTACCTTAAGTCAAAAGGCAATGCCCTTTGTCCTTGATCTCCTCAAGGCAACATGTGTTGGCTTCACTCCGGTTCACTCCTTTGTCCAGTACCTAGATACCTGCGATGTCTTCCTCTGCTCCACAGTGACACAGGAACGTGAAGGACAGCAGTGGATGCTGAACAAAGGACATTCAAGTTCCTCTTTTCATCAAAGATGACATACTCATAGAACATTTTTCTACCACTTATTTGACATAGCAATCATGAACATCTTCCTTCTCTTCAAAGAGCTCTGGTCAGCTGACCATTCATGTGACTCTGTTTTGTAGGAATATTGCAGACTTTTAATGAGGTCCGTAACATGAGCTCTAAACTAAATTAACTCTACAGCCAAAATTATGTTGTAGGAACATCTCAACCAGGGTCAGATCAGTAAAGATATGCATTGATTCAAAAATATTTTAACTTCAACACACTTACCTTGCCTTATTTTCCTGTAAAATAAGTTGCATTTATCTCTTGAGGAACTTGCTAGCTGGATTTATTTGATCATCTCAATAAGAATGTGTCTCACATAGCCCCCCAAAATATTGCTATATATGACAGTCATCGTCTGCTGTGAGTTTTCTTGATGTGGCCTTTGGTATCATGATATGTAATGCGTCTTTTTTTTCTTTCTTTTTAATAAATCCAAACTGCTGTAACTGTTGTTACAGTCTTTGAATGTAGCTCATTATAATTTTCTCTCCTGAGTTCTGACACATCAGGGAGCTTAATTTAAGAAGCTTTACCATTCAGTAAGCACCAAGAAAAACATTTGAGTTAGGCAAGTTAGGCTTCATATTGCTGTCAGCAGATGGTGGTATAGGCTTTAATAAGCTTAGCTGTGACAGAAAACCAAAGTTTGTCAAGAAAGAAAACTAGAAATTGTGTTGCTTTAGTTTAAAGGTTGTGCATATGACAGTTTAATAATGGCTATATACATTTATTGCAAATTCAGCCCAAAAAAATTAACAACCCAATAAGAAGTTTTATCTATTGTGCTTTATAAATAACAAATCACAAGAATTAACCCATGTAATGTCTCATTATGTCCTACCTCTCTAAATACAAAAAAAAGCTATTTCAAAGAGGTCAAAATTAACTTCAGTCATCATTCACCATCAATGTTGATGGATTGCTTTTGCTTATTCCCTTAATGCCTCAAGGTTATGTAAAAAAGTGTAACTGAACTCGGGACAGTTACATTTGAGTAAAGTCTACCTAAAAAAACAAAACACAAAACGGATGGTAATGTTGAATAATTATCTCATTCTGTCTCTTACTCTTTGGTAGTCTATCCAGAACTGTTACCATCTGTCAGAATGAAAAAAAAAAACTGAAACAAACGGCAACATTTGCTCCTTAAGGTCTGTGAATCTCATTGCTAATAATTTATTTCTGGGAAATCCTGTGTTTGCGAGACAGCTCAGGTACAATGTTGTTCTAAGAAACAGATTTGAGCACGGGTTAATTGCATATATCCTACATTAGTGGTGGGAACTGTCACATAACAAATGTGAAGCAAAAGCCTGCCTTTAAATAATCCGTCGATAATCACCTTCAGGCCAAAAATTACCCACAGACATTTACTGACCAGCACTAGCACTGAACACGTTTCATCAACATTTATGATCCAACAAAAAGGAAAATTAGGGCATTTAATGGAGTTACAGTGACGAGATAAAGCTTTCTTTCACTCAGTCTGACAGCTGGAACGAGTTTAACCTGCAACCTGATAAGAGTTGAAACACGACAAGCGCATGTAGGCTGGTGTTTCACTCTTTTAAACCCAATTTGCTGCAATGTTTGCACGGCAGCATTTAACAAGCCACATGACGCAAAGTGATTCTGTTCAATAAATGCTGAATTATATCCAATATAAGCAGTGCTCTTTAACAGTTTGACCATAATTACGCCCAATTATCACTGCTTTATAGAATGATTCATCTCTGAGCGAGGCTAATTAAATTAAAGTCCCACGGCGGCGTGTGAAAAGCAGACACCCTGCTGCAGCGCGTGTTGTTCTGCCCTCTGCATGGGTAAGACTACACGCTAGGTTGAGCACCAAATTGGGTAACTGTCCAGCAACAGCACCTGCTGGAAATGATCATCCCGAGCTGGAGAGAGACCGGGACTGCTTTGATAACAAACATTTTGGCCGGCAATCGATCCAAGACTGGACTTTTGGACTTAAAATGCCAACTGTGAAAGACAAGGCAAAAGAATATCCAACTGTGAAGGACCTGCAGAAGGTTTTGGACGCTTGTAAGCTACACCTCCACCAAATTGATGAAGTATGGCCAAATATATACGTAGGAAATGTGTAAGTAGTATTTAATTACATTTTTTTAAATATAGAATGCCACTGCATCTCTACAGGCACATTTAGAAAATTTGAATATCATTAAAATTTGTAATTGAAAAGTGAAATTCATGTCTTCTATAGCTTCATTACACAATGAGCAACATTTCCAAAGTATTTATTTCCACTTATGTTGATGATTGTACTTTAAAGCTAACAAAAATGGAAAATTATGTCTCAAATATTAGAATAATGCAATTCCAATAAAAAATAAAGTAATTCAGAAATGTTATGCCCAGCATGATAATGAGGGAGATTGCTCATTATCCCAGCAGACATTCATTGACAAAACCCACAAGGAGGGTAAACCATAGACCACTGTGTCTGGGCATATTAATGGAAAGTTGACTGGAAGGAAAAACTGTGGTAGAAAAGGGCCACTGCAACCTTAGGATGATTAAGTGAAAGATATTCAAGGTTTTGGGGGAAATACTCATGGCATATCAAGGTGTGGATTTATGTCACCACATACTAGCTCCCCTAAATAAATGACTCAAACCAATCATCTGGCCTTCTTTTGGTTTAAAAAAACTTCATCATTTGGCATTATGAACTAAATTTTACTGCTTTGGATTAAAATGAAATAGAATCGTATACTTATATTTCTGTGTATAAAAACTGGGTCTGTTTGTACTGTAAACTGGTTATATAGAAATAAATAACGAGACTGAAACTGATTAGTCGAGCCATGGTGTTGGTCCAATGTCTGTGATCGAGTCTGATGTCAGCGCAGCCGTCTAACAGGAAATCTTTGAGCACTTTATGCTTCACTCTGCTGACAAGCTTAATGCAGATGCTGATTTCATTTTCCAGCAAGACTTGGCACCTGCCCACACTCCTAAAACTGCCTGTATTTGATTTAGTGACTGTACAGTATCTCCGTTCTTGACTGGTCAGCAAACTGGTCTGAGCTGTATTCCATAGAAAAGTAGTGGAGTATTGTTAGGAGAAGGATGAGAGACTCGAAAACAAACGGTATAGAGTTGCCTAAGGAGAATCGATGGAGTTTAGTTCAAGTGATTAAGTACATATTCTACACAGTATAGGTAGTTTTCAGTAAGCCATAATTTCTGCATGAATTCCTTTTTTACTAGTGTGATATATATTAAATATTATTTATCTACCAAGCTAAATTTGGGGTTTTCATAAACTCTCGTACATAATCAGACAACTGTACATTGGACCAACTGGTACATTTGATAAGGCTCTTCAAATCCCTAAGCATATGTGCAACATTTTCTGTAGCACTTTTTCCTTCCACTCAACTTTCCATTAAAATGTTTAGATACCACACTGTTTGTACAGCCAGTTTCTTTATGGATTACATTTTATTGCTCGCCAGCCTTGTGAAGGGTGTCAGTGATTTCCCACTGGACACTTGTCGACTCCTCCTCACGACTTTGCATTTCGTAGTCACTATGTAGCATTTCACTATCAAAAAATAATTTTTATTGGTCCTGAGGAATATTCCTTTTATTGTCAGAAGCTGAATTTAAGGGTTTCATTAGCTGTTAACAGCATTATCAAAATTAACAAAAGCAACAACTTGAAATATATCCATCTGTGTATACGAGTTTCAAATTAATCACAACGACAAATACATTTTTCAATGATATTCTAATTTACTTACATCCAGCCACCACATTTCTTTGAACCTCCACCACATATTGCCATTCTGACAGAAAACCACTGTGCTGCGATGCATAGCTTTCACCAATGTCTTGAACTTCTCTCTGTCTCTGTGTCTTGCTAGGGCAGTAGCCAAAAACAAGGCTGTCCTGCTGAATTTAGGCATAACTCATGTGTTAAATGCTGCTCACTCCAAGCAAGGCAGCCCAGGGAACCAAAGCTTTTATGGCAACGACTTTGTGTATTTTGGCATTCCAGCAGATGACTCGACTCACTTTGATCTGGACGTTTACTTCCAGCCCGCAGCGGATTTCATTCATAAAGCTCTGAAGTCACCCGGTGGTAAGAACTTTCAACAAACTTGATCCAGAATGCACAGAAGGAAAAGAAGCTTCCCCCCTTTTTTTAAATTCCTACACATAAAATCATTCATTTCATTCTGTAAATCCTTAATGGAGTTAACCATCCAAAAAAAAAAAAAAAAAAAAACTCTCACATCTTGCCACTCTTTCAATGTCACCTGGCACCACAATGTAACAGAGCTTGTACTACTATGCAAATGTATGTTCAGCCCGTAACAATAAGTCTCTTACCTTGCTGAATTTAAGTATGCAATAGCTTCTTTCAAAGAAACAAGGAGAGGATGAGTTGGGATTAAAGAGAGTTGGCCTGTCTGCAAAAGAACTTCAAATGAACAAAGATGATGAATTGTCGACTATTTTTAGCTCACAAGCAGAAAAAAAAAAAAAAAAAAGAAAGGCCACAGTGTGAGACGGGCAGTCATGTATGATATTAATAAGTCTGAGGCCTCACTAATCCTTCCCTCACACCTCTCTCCGCCTTTGTCTTGTTCTTCAGGGAAGGTTTTGGTGCACTGCATCATGGGAATGAGCCGCTCGTCGACTTTGGTCCTAGCCTACCTCATGATCTACCATCACCTCCCACTCAAACAGGCCCTGCAGAAAGTGGTCCAGAAAAGGGCCATCTATCCCAACAGGAATTTCCTGGCTTTGCTGCTGGATCTAGATCTTCAGCTGACGAGGAAAAAGAAAACCTGTCAGATACTGTAGTAGACTTTTTTTTTTTAGCCTTACGGCGTTTTAGTTACACGTCAAGAGGTCCGGCAGTCTGTTGATCCAGCAGTCTGGACTGTGAGTTGAAACATGTTTTTGGCTCGGCAGGTGACGGATTTTTTGGGATATTCAGGTGACAGTATGTTCGCATTTTAAGCTAAAAAGAGAATCTATGTAACTTTTTGACCTTCGTTAATCAACAACTCAAGAATTCAGATGCTTCCCAAAATGTAAATTTCACTCTCTGTAATAGACCTGCAGAGCAATTGTACAATATCAGTACAAAGGATGAAAACGTCATCCTTTCATACTTGAAAGGATCATATTTTGTTCTTGTAAGGGGATGAGACATTTTGTGCCTTTATGTACTTTACCCATTGCTCAGCAATTTACTTCTCATGTTATGAAGTATTTTCATGAATTACTGAGATAAATGGTCCAAAAAATACAGGTCCAAATGTGTGAGAACACAGTTTTGTTCAACCAAAACTACAAAGGTGCAAAATGACAAACGCCCATCTTTAGATGTTTAATGGTTTTCTACCAATCTTTTCTGAAGTTTTTCACGTGCCGTCTTGTAATTTTGAAGTTTTTACAACTGTGTGTGCTTTTTTTTTTTTTTTTTTTTTTTAAAAAATAAAATTATTTTTTTTTGAAATTTTTTTTTTGGGAGATTTTTTTTTTTTTTAAAAAATAAAATTATTTTTTTTTGAAATTTTTTTTTTGG